CCCTAGCCCCGCCTCCCTTCTCGAACCCACTAGCGGGTTCCAGGGGCTTCCCGATGAGGTCTTCCGTGACCCTTGCCCAATTTCCTCCGCCCTGCCAGCACACACACCATGTATATGCTCAACGGCGTGTACGCTAAGTGCCCACCTGCAATTGCTGCTGCTGGATAGCAGTTGGCGCTATGTCACTACACGTGTCATTGGGGGAGCCACTGCAAAGCTAAGGCTTGCACTCTCGGCATCGCGATACAATGCGTGGGGGAGAGTACTGTGAACGAGACTGCCCCCCGGTGGCGAGTTTGCTTTATACAGCCTTCACACAACCATAGCGTCGAGATCGTTGCTATTGTGCTCCGATCAAAGTCAACCTCTCCGAGGGGAGACCTGAGGCAAGCACTGCTCGTGAGTGTGCCCAGTACCTCGCCAAGCCTCAGTCGAGGGTCGGATCAAAGACCGACGCGGAACGAGGTCACCTGATCTGGAGCGTGTCCACTGAGCAGCGTACGAGACGTACAGGCAACTGCCGGAGGACTCTCGGGAAGAGGGGGGAAGACGACAGCCGCCGTCTCTCCCAGCCGCTCCTCAGTCTGCAAGGGTCAACTGTGCCTGGTGCCAAGGGGGGTGACGCGTTGCCGGCCTGGCGGACGAGCTGCGAGCGCGATCTGGCGACGTGGCCACCGTGCACGCCGCTGCAGGCTGAGCCTGACCCATCGTTCCCCTGCCAGCGCCGCAGCCACTCGACAGCCGCTCCAGCTGTGGACGGAGCCTGATGGTGCACGTGGCCCGAGTGAACCACGCGCCGTGTGCGACACACAACCCGCCCACCCGACGCCCCCTGCTGGGGAAACATGCTGCACAAGCTGCTCCCCCACCCTCTGGATCAGTGGTTCTTAACCTGGGTTCGATCGAACCCCAGGGGTTCGGTGAGTCAGTCTCAGGGGTTCGGCGGAGGTTAAGACACACACCCGACTCATATGATTCGTGATGACACGTCCGGCTTGGCCATCGCTTGGCCTATCTGTGCTGCAGGGAATTTGGTGCGCTCGGTAGTCGACTTGTGACTGTCGTGATGGTACGTCGTGTGATTTCTTTCTTAATATTTTAATCCCTTCATACTAACTATGTCGAGCAAAAAAACAAAGTGGTCGGACGAATATGTACAATATGGATTTAATTTTCGATTTAAAGCTTTCGTGACTGCAGGGATTCATCTTCTTGGTTCCTTCGGTAAAGTCACGTAGAAGGGAAGTAATAAAATAATTAAAATAAAACATAATAAAATAAAATAATTCTCACGACGTTTCGGCTACAACGCAAGCAGCCGTCTTCAGGTGAAGACGGCTGCTTGCGTTGCTTGCGTTGTAGCCGAAACGTCGTGAGAATTATTTTATTTTATTATGTTTTATTTTTATTATTGTATTACTTCCCTTCTACGTGACTTTACCGAAAGAACCAAGAAGATGAATATGGATTTACATGTATAACGGAACGTGATGGGAGTCAGCGTCCTAACTGCATGATTTGCAATGCCAAGTTGAGCAATTCTAGTCTAGTACCGGCAAAACTAAGGGAACACTTCCTTAAGCTGCATGGAGATGGGGAATACAAGAACACAACGCTCGCTGAATTCAAGGTGAAGAGAGCCAGATTTGATGAAAAGGCTACTCTGCCTGTTCTCGGCTTTGTACCCATCAACAAACCGATCCTCACAGCATCGTACGAAGTTGCTTACCTGATCGCAAAGCAGGGCAAACCACACACCATTGGTGAAACACTCATAAAACCAGCTGTGTTGAAGATGGCGAATATCATGCTGGGAAAAGCGGCTGAAGTTAAGTTATCCCAAATTCATCTTTCAAATGACACCATCAGCGACAGAATAGAGGACATAAGCAAAGACATCTTGGCTCATGTAGTTGCAGATCTGATTTCAAGCCCGGCAAAATTCAGCCTCCAACTCGACGAGACTACAGACGTTTCCAATCTAAGCCAGCTTGCTATATTCGTGCGCTATGTGAAAGACGACGTGATAAAGGAAGATTTTTTTTATTTTGTAAGCCTCTTACAACAACAACTAAGGCAGCCGATGTGAAGAAACTTGTGGATGACTTCTTCAAATACAACAATCTTTCGTGGGATATGGTTTCTGCAGTTTGTTCGGACGGAGCTCCAGTCATGCGGGGAAGAAAGTCTGGTTTTGGTGCGCTAGTGAAAGCCGATGCACCACACATCATTGTTACGCATTGTATTCTGCACAGGCATGCGTTGGCAACAAAAACCTTGCCTCCAAAACTGACAGAAGTATTAAAAATTGTAGTGGAATGCGTGAACTATGTGCGAAATAGTGCTCTGAGGCACCGCATCTTCAGTGAGCTGTGTAAAGAAATGGGCTCTGAATTCGAGGTACTTCTGTACCATTCTAACGTTCGGTGGTTATCCCGGGGACAGGTGCTGAATCGTGTTTTTGCCATGCGTGTGGAATTAGCCCTGTTTTTGCAAGAGCACCAACATTGTCATGCAGATTGCTTCAAAAATTCTGAGTTCATTCTCATTTTAGCGTACATGGCTGATATCTTCGCAGCTCTCAATCATCTCAATCAGCAGATGCAGGGCGGTGGAGTCAACATCATTAAAGCGGAAGAAAACCTGAAGGCTTTTCAAAAAAAGCTACCGTTATGGAAACGACGAACAGAGAACGATAACTTCGCAAACTTTCCCCTGCTGGACGACTATGTAAGTAAGATCGAAGATGTATCTGGAATCGGAGACATTTCTGTACCCGCGGAACTGAAGCAAGCAATTGCCACGCACTTAGATGAGCTTGCAAAGTCTCTCGACGGATACTTCCCTACAAGAGAGTCATATCCAGCATGGGTGAGACAGCCGTTCACGTTTAGTGTTGAGACAGCAGATGTCAATGATGAATACCTCGACGAAATAATTGAAATTCAGCAGAGCCAGGTTCAACAGCAACTCTGCAGAACAACAACGCTCTCAACGTTTTGGTGTCAACAAATGGTAACGTACCCTGTTATTGCTAAGAAAGCCTTGGAGATTTTCATACCGTTTGTTACAACATATCTTTGCGAGCAATCCTTTTCGAGGATGCTGGACATAAAACGAATAAAAGGAACAGACTTTGTTGCGAAAATGACATGGGAGTGGCACTTGCCAAGGTGAAGCCGCGCATTTTTGAACTGGTCTCTGAAAGACAACAGCAGAAGTCACACTGATTTGCAGTAAGTATTCATTATTATGTTTTTGTTTTTGTGTGAAAATCATGTTTTTCTGGTTTGTTCTTTGAACACAGTGATGTTGATGCACGGTTCATTTTGTGCACCAGTAAAACATAAACCTATGTTTTGAATTTGAAAAAATCATATTTTATTTTTCCAATTAAGAAGGGTTCGGTGAATGCGCATATGAAACTGGTGGTGTTCAGTGCCTCCAACAAGGTTAAGAACCACTGCTCTGGATCCAGAAGCACCGCTGGTAATAGATTCATGAGCAGAGATCTACGTGGACCAACTCAAACAATACTTCTAGATTTGAAGCTTTCGTGACTGCAAGGATTCATACTCTTACGTTTTTTCGGTAAAGTCACGTAGGTAAAAAATAAAATAGAAAGTTAATAAAAGTAATAATGGAAATAAAATAAAATAATAAATCACGACGTTTCGGAGGCAACACAAGTCTCCGTCATCAGGTGGGACCGTCACAGCTAAAATTAGCTAGAAAATTTTGCTGTTACGGTCCCACCTGATATAATTAGCTAGAAAATTTTGCTGTGACGGTCCCACCTGATGACGGAGACTTGTGTTGCCTCCGAAACGTCGTGATTTATTATTTTATTTTATTTCCATTATTACTTTTATTAACTTTTAATTTAATTTTTTACCTACGTAACTTTACCAAAAAAACCTAAGAGTATCAAACCATACTACCCTCTAGAATTGTTGGACCTCGTGTTGACTGCCTTCCAACACACACACGACGCGCATATCGGTATGAATAAGGTTGTTCCGCGATGTTTTGTTTCGCAAAGGGTTGCCATTCCAAGGTGGTGTGTTCAGTATTAACTGGTCGTGGAGAAGCATTGTTCTGTCACTTAAGTTGCATGAATACGGTCGTTAGGAGTATTTTAGTAGTTTGTTTTCTTTTAATCACAAAATCTTTCCAATGAATTCATTGATGTCCTACGAGCCATTTGATAAGTATTTACTTTTCGAACCTAAAAACTCGCATGAATACTTTGTTTTGAGATATTTATTTTAATCGCAAAATCAATTCATTTGTTGATGCTTCTTTTGCCATTGGGCAAACGTTTGTTTAGCGCGTTTCGGTATAAATATTGTCATTTTACGGACTTCCCTATCGTGTTTTGTCGCGTTAATATGAGAAGTTGGCCTATTGTTCTGTTGCGCTGTTTAACAACGGAACAATAAGACTTGACCATTGATGTTTTCATTTGTACGGATCGATGAGTACGATATCTGCAGGAGTACTGATTTTGCAATTCTGATCATAAGTGTGTTCACATATTTAGAGAGTTTTTAGATATTAAAGTTGCTCAACACAGAAGAGTCTGAGTGGTTCCTTCGTAAGTTCCTGCATAATTATCTGAATTATAAGAACTGTATCCTGCGGTAAAATCTTAATTCTGAAACTGGACATAATAATACTAAAATCATAATCAGTAAATGTTTAAGTGAGAATCATTGTATTATCACGATTGGTAAAACACCCCTAGACAACGAAGCTAAGCATCCACATCACACACAATCACAAATAACCACACACATATAATACACCCTCTAGACAACGAAAATGGCAATTATAACTGATAATACAAACATACACACACATTAAAAATACTCCTACAATCACACACACGCATAGATGATACACATCATACACGTACATTTTCACTTGATATTTTACGCACGTTTAATCACACATAGATTGATCACATTACACTCAATGAACACCAATTCACATGAATGACACGTGGCATTATTTTATTAAGTTTGCCACATTTGCATATTTGAATGAAATTGCATAATTTAACAAATTTGCATAACTGTATACAAAAATGTCATTTAACATAAAAAAATAACTGCACAAAATATACAACAGTGCAAATTCAAGGAAGGTGAACAAATGACCCAGACGCATCTATATATACAAGTTGGTAGTTTAGTGCATGATGTCCAGCAGTGGCTTTACCCTCAAGAGTTTGTGAACACGTTTACACTCACTCTAATGCCCCCTCACAAGCTACGTTTGAAAGTTGGAGTGCCAATCATTTTGATTCGAAATATCGATGAAGAACAAGGTCTCTGCAATGGAACGAGACTTTCAAATCTGCCCATTGACAAGAAATTGCATCGATGCCATGATGATGACCGGCTCTCTTCATGGGAAAAGAGTTTTAATTCCTCGCATTACGATGATCAGGTAACGAATCAACTCCTCCGTCCAAGCTCCGACGAATCTAGTTACTTCCCTGTTCAAGTTGCACTTGCAACGATCATCAACAAAGCACAAGGACAGTCGGTTGATCATTTGGGATTGTATTTCCCACAACCAGTTTTTCGCTCATGGACAATCATACGTGGCGTTGTCAAGAGTTAAGTCAAGATTCAAATGCCACCGTGTTCACTGAATACCCAATTTGTGCAGAAGATGGAGTGTATATGAAAAATATTGTGTACAAACAGGTCTTTAGGTAGTGATTATACATTTCGTTTCAGTTTTCGAATGATTACATTTCATGAAATAATTTCAGCACACTGTTACACACAGGTCAACAGCACCCACCGCTTACATATCCACGCATGGACAACCTCATCCATTGGTTACGTGTAATAGCCCCCTCCCAGCTGGTATAATTATAACGTAGTCCTTTGGTTAACATTTTGTCGCGATCAACAAAAACTTCTGTTTCCTAAAATAACTGTTAATCGAATTCACTTATCAGTTGAAATGTTAAAATCACTTCGTCTGCAAAATAGCTGTTTCCACTGCCAAAACAGCAAACGTGATAATGTAAACAAAGCCAGTCGAGGTCTAAACGCTCATCAATGCACGTCGCTGATTGGCTGAGGCTATGGCTCTGTCCACTTAAGAGCACTCAGATTGTCCTAAATTGGCGCCTTGCATGCGTAACATAACCGTACCGTTAATCACAATGTTAACATTAGTCGAAACCATGGGGTCCTATGGGAGGCAAACGTTAACCTTAGGGACTGCTGTATACAGGCATACCTCGTATAGCGCTCAAGATGCGTTCTTGGTCAACAGAGTTGCTCTAAGTGGTATGCCTGCATTTCCTGCCAATAGAGGTCAGTTGTAATTGTTGCCATCATAATGGCCCGTGCTTGTTTATGGGCTCTATGTGAACATTCTTTCCATTAACCCCAAAACAACTCAGCATCGTTGTGTTTGCTTTGGAATCTACGTTGTTGGGTTTTGCGGAAAAAAATCTACTGAGGCATGTGGATTATCAAGATTTTTTCCAGTGTAACACTCAATCGTTATGATTTTGAATATATACTCGTACATGGCCTCTAATTGCAATAATCATGGAAGAGATCAATAATTCGGCGAGCAATACATATAATCTTCGAATCAAATTCAATATATACTAAATTAGTGCATACAAAATGTATATAAAGTGCATTATGCCTTACAACAATAGAATACAAGTGCATTGATTTAGCATGTAGTATATACAGCAAACTCTTGCCCATCGCCGGGGTTACGTTCTTGGTAAAAAGCCGCAATCGGAAATTTTGCCTCCCCCAAACTCGAAGGCAAATGGGGATAATGGGGTTTGGTTCACAGTTACGAACGCGCGATAGAAGACAAGATGGCGGGCGATAGAATACAAAATGGCGGGCGATAGAAGACAAAATGGCGGGCGATAGAAGACAAAATGGCGGGCGGCTGAACGTCACTGCCTTCTCACTCGAGGCTGGAAACACCACGTGACCCGGGACCCGCAATGGGCCGCTTGAGAGAAGAGACGGGAGACAAGATGGAGACAAGACGGAGACAAGATGGAAACAAGGCGGAGACAAGACAGAGAGATGGGAGATATGAAAGAGTGAGCGGCTTAATCGTATCTAATTCATTTACCCACCCAGTAGTATAACAAAAGCAGTAATTGACCACTTCACAACTCCTCCTCCCCCGCTGCACTTCCTGGCTCCTCCCCCCGTAACCACATTATAAGGTACAGATATTTTGCTGTGACGGTTTCACCTGAAGACGGAGGCTTGTGTTGCCTCCGAAACGTCGTGATTTTTATTGATTTATTTTTATTAATTTTTATTTCATTTTTTACCTATGTGACTTTACCGAAAGAACTAAGAGTAAGATATGAAAGAGATTTGATGGAAACAAGACAGAGACAAGATGGAAACAAGACAGAGAAAAGATGGAGATAAAACGGAGATAAGATGGCACCGCGTGTGTTCTTCCACGGCAGTAGCAGCATCATCGCGAGCAGTATAGTTATGACGCGTACAGAAATCTCGTGATCAACCGCGAATGGTCCAGCCACAGCGGTAAGATAGGCGAACTCTGTAGCTCAATAGACTTGGCACGAAACGGCAAAACCGCGATAGCTAAACCCGCGAGAGCGAAGAGTTTGCTGTACTTGAATGTAAAAATACACTTTTTTTCACAGAATATAATTCACCTATCGGCGTTAAATCACAGTATGAGGAATCAACTTGTAGATATTCTTCCAGCAGTAAAAAAAAACAACTCCAGCAACAGCACCCAGAGCAGCAATGACTCTCCAAGGACGATCCAAACTACAGGTGAGCTGGAGTTGGACTTGGCTTGGGTGTTGCATCTGTCGGTTCTATTAAACACAAACACAGACGACACAGAAACACGTGCACACCCAAGAGATGCACGCAGTCAACGTCCCCCTCCTCTCGTGCGGCCTCTGCCCTGCAGCTCCTCCTGCTCTGCTCGTTGTCGCCTTGGGCCACCTCCGCGTCGACTCCCCAGTCCCTCGAATCCGCCGCGTTCGCCACTTCTACTCCCCTCGCTCTCGGCCTGCCCCTCTGTCTCCGCCCTGGTGCCAGAGGTCGCAACCGGGTACCCGATACCCGTACCCTACCCGATACCCGGCTACCCGTACCCGGCCGGGTACGGGTCGACCGTGAGTCACTGGTGAGTAACTGTCACTCATTTACCAACCTCTTGTCTCTTCTCACAATTCAAGTTCCTAGAATCAACCCACCCGCGCCTGCAACATGGCTTCATCCCAGAGGTCACAATCAGGTACCCGATACCCGTACCGGCTACCCGTTTGCGACCCTGGTGCGGCCGGGTACGGGTAAGGAATCAAAACCCATTTGCGACCTCTGCCCGGTGCCTTCACGTTCATCGCCCTCGCGGTTGCCCCCTCCTCTATTGCTAAGGCAGCCCCAGCAGTGTAAGCCGACTCCCTCTCTCCGCTCGAGTGAGATGAGCACCGCCACTCCCGCCTCCTTCCCCAGCTCTTCAGTTTTGACCGATCCAGTCCTGTGATCGCTGCTAGCGAGTAACACCTCGAGAGGGTGATGTGGCCAGCACCACGCCTGGCCGCCTTTGTCTCAGCAGTGCTGGTGTTTACACAACGCAGAGAGGTTAGGGAATTGAACCCAGGTAGCTGGTTCTTAGCGCAGTGCACGCAGACTCGCACACACAAACACACAGGCAGAATGACCCTGACGGGAGTGGCTCCTGCCTCCTGCTTCTCTCGCTCTCACCTCATCTTGCTCCTGCATCTTATCCAACTGTGTTCATTGACTCCATTTCGTGAGGCCTGTTGAGAGAGAAGTGGACACGCGTCGATCACACATGACACATCCCCATCCTCACCCACATGCAGCCTGTGTCACTGGCACGGCTGGGAGTCTAACCCACACCTTACACCTGCCTGACACTCGCATGGAACCACTGACCACAGCCATCACTGACCCTGATTTGAAAGACATCTTCTTGGTTCTTTCGGTAAAGTCACGTAGAAGGGAAGTAATAAAATAATAAAAATAAAACATAATAAAACAATTCTCACGACGTTTCGGCCACAACGCAAGCAGCCGTCCTCAGGTGAAAAAACCAGGTCCGTCGAGGCGACAGAGTCTGAATGAAACAGCACACGAGCTTGGAGCATATATATAAGCTGGGCGCCTTGACAAAGGAATTTGCATATCAAGAGGAATTTAGCATATTTATGGGAAATGCAGGAATGTGATTAGTACTACATATGCATGTGCATTATGCAGGATTAACAGCATCAAAGGGAGCTGCAGGTACTGCTGCTGCTGCTGCAGTTTCTGCTGCTGCTGCAGTTGCTGCTGCTGCTGCAGTTGCTGCTGCTGCAGTTGCTGCCTTATCCATTTTAATATAACACTATGTATTATTTTACCCACCCTAATGTGTATCACACTGCTATATATTTACTATATAATTACGACACCATACATTACTCTGCACACTGCACAATGCCAGTGAGTGGAACGCGGTCTGAAAGTCACCGTAAACGTGAACCCAATCAGTTAAGATCCGAAATGGTTTATTACGTCCTTCCAATGATTGCTAAGCCAGAATCCATCTTCTCGGTTGAAATTGTCTCTGTGTTTGTATATGTGGATCGCCTCATGAACGAATCTCTCATGATAGCCAGATGGCTTGCAGAGAACCTCTGTCTTGGAGAAGTCAATGTCATGTGAGCCCACTGAATTGTAACTGTGATCTGCCACGGCTGAGGTGTTTTAATGCTGGGGTACCCCCCCTGGTGAGACACTGCTTAACCAATACATACTTCACCTGGAATGGAACTTTCTACAAGCAAACTGAGGGCACCCCAATGGGCTCCCCCCTATCTCCGGTTGTAGCCAACATCTTCATGGAGAAATTTGAGACGGACGCCATCCAGACTGCCACTCTACGCCCGACCTTATGGAAGAGGTACGTAGATGACACTTTTGTCATCTGGCCACATGGCCGGCCTGCTCTAGACCAATTTCTCGACCACATCAATTCCATACACCCAGCCATCAGATTCACCATGAAAGTCGAAAAAGATGGCAAGCTACCCTTTTTGGATGTCCTAATCAAAAGGAGACCTGATGGTTCAATGAGCCACTGTCTACAGGAAAGCCACCCATACGGATGCTTACCTAAAACCGGATTCCCACCACCATCCATCCCAGAAGAATTCCCTCATCAAGACTCTATATCATAGAGCCCAATGCATTTCCGACCAGGAACACATTGGCAGTGAACTCAAACACGTACGCCAAGCTCTTAAGGCTAATGGTTACTCCGACTACACAATCGTCAAAGCCATCACTCCAACCATCAAGAAGGATCCTGTTGAGGAGCCTTTCAAGACCATCACCTTACCCTACATTGCTGGGGTCACAAAAAAGATCTCCAAAATCCTGATTAAACACAAGATTCAGGTCCGATTCAACACAGTACATAAAATCCGTGATCTGGTGCCGTCTGTAAAAGATGTGGTTCCAGACATACAGTACCCTGGCGTCTACAAACTAAGTTGCCTCTGTGGTAGCGGTTACATTGGGGAAACCAAACGACATGTCTCGGACCGCATCCGTGAACATAAAGCAGACCTGAAACACGGTAGGACAAACACCTCAGCCGTGGCAGATCACTGTTACAATTCAGTGGGCTCACATGACATTGACTTCTCCAAGACAGAGGTTCTCTGCAAGCCATCTGGCTATCATGAGAGATTCGTTCATGAGGCGATCCACATATACAAACACAGAGACAATTTTAACCGAGAAGATGGATTCTGGCTTAGCAATCATTGGAAGGACATAATAAACCATTTCGGATCTTAACTGATTGGGTTCACGTTTACGGTGACTTTCAGACCGCGTTCCACTCACTGGCATTGTGCAGTGTGCAGAGTAATGTATGGTGTCGTAATTATATAGTAAATATATAGCAGTGTGATACACATTAGGGTGGGTAAAATAATACATAGTGTTATATTAAAATGGATAAGGCAGCAACTGCAGCAGCAGCAACTGCAGCAGCAGCAACTGCAGCAGCAGCAGAAACTGCAGCAGCAGTACCTGCAGCTCCCTTTGATGCTGTTAATCCTGCATAATGCACATGCATATGTAGTACTAATCACATTCCTGCATTTCCCATAAATATGCTAAATTCCTCTTGATATGCAAATTCCTTTGTCAAGGCGCCCAGCTTATATATATGCTCCAAGCTCGTGTGCTGTTTCATTCAGACTCTGTCGCCTCGACGGACCTGGTTTTTTCACCTGAGGACGGCTGCTTGCGTTGTGGCCGAAACGTCGTGAGAATTGTTTTATTATGTTTTATTTTTATTATTTTATTACTTCTCTTCTACGTGACTTTACCGAAAGAACCAAGAAGATGAATCCCTGCAGTCACGAAAGCTTTAAATTGAAAGACATCCTTTGTTTAACCACGTGAGAGCCCATTGAGACCATTGTCTCTTGTGATTGATGTGTTTTATTTAACTACGTGAGAGCCCATTCAGTTCACCATCTCCTATGATTGACGCAGTCTCACATCACCACCCCCACCCATATGAAGCTCCTGTCACTGACAGCAGCCACGGCTGGGAGTCTAACTCAGGGATCCCAGCTGTCAGGGTCTCACGCAGGCTCCACTGAGCACAGCTCTGAGTCACGGGCAGGCAGGGAGCTGGAGTTAAACTCAGGACCTTGGAGAGGGCCGGCTCAGGGTCTCTGGCGTGGCCATAGTGAGCCGTGTTCTATAACTCACTGTGAGGTTCTGGTGCAATTGCGGTCGATACTCACGGGGCTTCTGGTTCTCTTGGATGACATAGTCTCAACCTCCTCCTGCAGTAAAAAATAACTCCAGCAGCAACAACCAGAGCAGCAATGACTCCAAGGGCGATGCCAGCTACAGTTGATGGAGCTGGAGCTGGACTTGGTGTGGGTGTTGCGTTTGTCGATTCTATTAAACACAAACGCAGACGACACAGCAACACGTGAACACCCAAGAGATGCACACAGTCAACGTCTTCTTCCTCTTCCTGCCATGTCCCCCTCCTCTCGTGCGGTCTCTGCCCTGCAGCTCCTCCTGCTCTGCTCGTTGCTGCCTTGGGCCACCTCCGCGTCTACTCCCCAGTCCCTCGAATCCGCCGCGTTCGCCACTTCTACTGCCCTCGCTCTCGGCCTGCACCTCCGTCTCCGCCCTGGTGCCTCCACGTTCATCGCCCTTGCGGTTGCCCCTCCTCTACTAAGGCAGCCCCAGCCGTGTGAGCCGACTCCCTCTCTCCGCTCGAGTGAGATGAGCACCGCCACTCCCGACTCCTTCCCCAGCTCTTCAGTTCTGACCGATCCAGTCCTGTGATCGCTGAGATCTAATGAGGCCTTTTTTCCAGAACACGGGGTGATATTTCGGCTTGATGCTGCTGAGACTCTCATCTCCTTGTCAAAAAGTAGTGCCGTGAGGGTGCTGCATCCATTGCAAGGTGTGAATTAATCCACTGTAAGAACCATTTAATTACCATGCATCTTTTAGTTTGTGTGTGTTTTTGAGAGTCTTGTGTGTGAAAAAGTGACACTCAACATGCACAGTGATGCAATGGGAATGTTCACACAGTGCCGCAAGCATCTCGCCATCCAGTCATTGAGGACTTTAGATGGCCGCCGAGGTGGCGAATCGGCGACAGAGTTGGGGGCGAGCGTCAGGCTGGGAAATCATTGTTAGGGGAGAGCATTGGACGCGAATTCTGCGGTGCGGGGATGAGATGGGGGTTTCATGTTAAGGAGTGTACACACGCAAGGAATAGAGAGTAACTCAGCATCCTTTAGTACAATAACAAGGGCAGAAATCTTGTAGAATTAGTAACACAGAGGGAGGGGTTATCATTTCAGACCCAGGAAGGCAACCCTAGTTTTCCCACAATGTCTGTTATCTGTCGAACGCGGTTCTGCCTAACACGTCATTTTCTAGGAACGTAACCCCAGCGTCCGGCGAGGCCTGCCTGTGAATGTTAAATAGTGACGGTGCTATAATAACCCAGCCTTGATGGAGGCCATTGTTCATGATTATCCTCCAGCTGTGTTCACCGGCGAGGTGTTCACCCTCAACGCACGGTTTGCTGAGCATCGTGTTCATTAGGTGAACGGTAGAACAGCTTTTGATGAGTTTTGGGGCCAACTTCGTCAGCAGGCAATGACGCCAAACGGAGTCATGGACAATCAGCAGGAGAGGTCAATCATCGCTGTGCCAGGTTCCTGTTGACGCTGCAAATCGCCTTGCAGCTCCCACATCGACACTTGAAGTGAATCCGAATCAAAAACTTATTCCTTGAGCTAAGAAGCTATTTTTTCCGACATCAAAGCATTCCACATCCCACAAGTGGACAACAATCTCATGGGACACAGACAGAGAGAAACAGGAACTCAAGCTGCCATTGGATCCTGTAGACAACTCAACAAAGAGTCGAGTTTCTTATACTACAGGATGTGATATCTGTGAGGAATAACAAAAACCCTTTATGGATGTGCCACAGAGTGAATTTTAGTGGTAAATCTGGACAATAATGAGAATTTGCATTCTTGCTTAGCGAAAATTATAAAATTGTGGATGTTAAATAGATCCAGGGAGGACATAATGCAAACCTGGTTCATTGTGAACGTTTAGCTGCAGATAACCGATGTCTTGCATGCTTGGCTTGTCATATCGATACATCGTGACCTCACAGCGATATCGTCCAGCGTCGTGGGTCTGGATGTTGCTGATGGTGATGGAGGCGTCACAGGTGGAATCATTTCCCATCCACGTCACCTGCAACGGCCTGAGGCTCCTCTTTCTGTGTATGATCTTATACACCTTGACGGCAAACGTGAGAACACACCAGGACATGACTGTGTGTCCACATAATACACGTGCTCATATTCCGAAAACTGACAAAATATGTAAATAAAATTGAGTTATAACAGATACATATATAATACACCTATGAAATGACTCTTCTTCAGAGTAGAGAGAACGGAGAGAATTTGAGATTATTATAGTTGAAGATACAACACTATACTGCTGTCTGAAAAACTTTTAAGTTGACAATGGGACCATAAAAGGAGAGGGGGTGACCTCAATTGAAATAAATTAGCATGAATGGCGTTAATAAAGAACATTTAATCATCACTGTGAGCAGGAGGGTGTAAGTAATAGTGTGAAAGTGTAACAGTGACGCACCTTCTCATCGTGTCCGCCTATGGTCCTAAACCACTCCACCAGCGTGTGTCTAATACCCGTGATGGTGCAGGTGTAAGAGCAGGGCAGGAGAGCCATGCTGCCTACTGTGGCGTCCTTTGCATCCGGGGTGACAACGACCAGGTCTGTGGACAAACCCACGATGGTCACATGAGCAGTGGGAATGAACCTCTGGAGGAGGAGGAGGTGGTGCTGGTTTCACAACGCAGTGGTGACAAGTAGGACAGAGGGGGCAAATACTTTCCGTTAGACGAAGCATCTCTTTAGGTCTCTAGCAGAGCAGTGCAATGCTGCATGTTAGAGAATGGTCCACAGAAGGGGATATCTTAGAGCTACCTCTGAGGTCCCTTCAAGTGGAGCCGAGGTGGTGAGATGTTAACTACCTCGCCTGGTAGACAGGGGTCGTGGGTTCGAGCCCGACCCTGACACCTGCTGCTGTGTGTTTGGAGTTTGTGTGTTTACTCTCCCCGTGGTCGCGTGGATTTTTCTCCGGGACCTTCGGATTTCCCTTTCATATATAGAAAGATCTGTTAAGATTATTTGGCTGCGTTAAATGTCCGTATGATAAGCCACTTCGTTGAGATATCATTTGTCGCATCTGAAAAAGAGCCATAGAGCTCAGTGGGCCTGACCAGGTAAAATAAAAAATAGTTTAGTTTAAGTAACATTAGAGCAGGGAGGATTATTTTCCGATAGTGCATTGCAAAATCGAGTAATGTTTAACACGTAGGCTTTCGCGACCAACGCGTACAACGCAAATGTTTACATACTGCCGCATGCATCTAGCCGTCCAATGTCATACGAATGCCTAGATAGCGGATCGTTTAACGTTCAAATGACAGTGTTAGGGGCAAGCATTAGGTGTGAGTGCCGTGGTAAGGGAAGGGGAGTGGAAACGGGGGTTTTGTGTTGAGGCGATATTGTAAACATAAAGATTGCACACAAACACAAGAAATGGAGAGCGACTCGGCATCCTTTAGGACACCAACAAGCACAACAATTACTTAGAATTTGTAAAACAAAGGGGGTGATAATTTTGGACCCAAGAAAGCAACCATAGTTGTCACGTGAGGTCTATAATTTGCCGAACGCGGTTTAGCCCAATGCGCCATTTTCCAGGAATGTAACCCCCGCGCTAGACGAGCTCTGCCTGGTTTAACTCCAAAGAGCTTGGAATTAGCCAAATTGAGTGCAATGTCAGATAACCAAATATAATGTTACGATGTTTGCCTAGTACTGTTTTTATTGATTGAATAATTTCACCTGGATAATCCGTTGAGAAGGAACATCTGTATACAAGGGTGCCCAGGTGACCAGGCTAAGATGACAAACTCATGAGACTCTACATCCGGATTGTTTGCTAATTTAACATTGAAAGTGAAGAGTCACAGGCAGGAGATGACCATGGTTCTAGGTGCATGGTTCTGTCACATGTACGTATTCATGTTGAACTGTTTTCACACCGTACGTAGCCAGGCACGGAGGTGCAGTGGAACGACAACAAACCAAACACGAAAGTCAAAACGTGAATTTGTCGGTTGGACATTGAGTGTTAGGTCTCGGCTACATGGCAGATGATGGGAGTAGTGAGTGGTAGGACAGACCTATGATGGACGTGATACAAACCTGTTCGTGGGAGGACAGTCAGCTGTAGATACCCAATGTGGTATTGCACAGTTAGGGAATAAACCGAGACCTCACAGCGATATCGCCCAGAGTCGTGGGTCTGGATGTCACTGACGGTGATGGACGCGTCACACTTGGACACATCACCCACCCACGTGGCCTGTAAAGGCCAGTGTCTGTTCTCTCCCTCGGAGAATTGATAAATCTGTGGTCAATAAAGGTGAAAGCAACACAGAGATCAAATGCATTATATTATTTCTATATAAAATTCGTTCAGATAAAACCTGAGAATGATTCTGTCTCCAGGGCTGCGACTGGGCTGGATTAACTTTTGACAAAAGAGCTTCACATGGAGACTGTTTTTAAATGGCTGGCCAATGTTTCCACCCAGTCACGTGACCAGGGGCCCTCGATCTGGATATAAAATACCAAACCTGTTCATCTGCGTTGGATATTGTAAATGCTCAAGGGTCATGTGACCAGGTTTACTAACAAGACTGATCAATTTCACGCTTGTGTTTGCTGCAATTGATCGGCAAATGGCGCACAGAACAGACAGAGAAGTAACTCACCCTGTCTTCACGTCCGTCTATGATCCTGAACCACTCCACCAGCTTGGTGGTAACGCCGCTGATTGTGCAGGTGTAGGAGCAGGGCAGGATTAATGTACTGCCTGCCATGGCGTCCATTTTATCTGGGGTCACAACCACGAGTTCTAGAGAAACCACACACAACGCCCACATTAATGTATATTTTCCTACGTAATATAAATGTATAAACGCTAAACATTTGTCAGTAAGAATGTGTTTTCAAAGTACAGAACAGGCAGACCTCGTCGAACGCAGGGGGTTACGTTCCTGGAATGCCATGTTGGGCACAACTTCGACAAAAAACAGACCTCATAGGAAGACTCGGGTTGCCTTCCTGCTTTCCAAATGATCACCCGCTCCCTCTTTGTTTAACTAATACTACAAGATGCCCACCCACGTTATTGTACTAACGGATGTTGAGTCGTTCTCACGTCTTGTGTGTGTGTGTGTACACTCTTTGTCCATTTCAACGTAACACAAAACCCCCGTCTCCATTCTTCCCGCACCACGGCACTCACACCCTAAGCTCGCCACTAACACTGTCACTCGAACATGAATCATTCACCATCTAGACGTCCATATGACGAACGTTCTCAATAACTAGATGCATGCGGTTATATGTGAATATTTTACGTTGTGTTGCTGCTGTGCGTTTTCAGTGCATTACATTATCGCACGAAAAAGAACATACCCACATGTACACACGGAAATACACGGTAAATACATCGTTCTCACAGTCGATTCACACATTTCAACGGACGCAGCACTCTCATGGCGCTACCTTTTTTCTTATGCAGATACAAAAATGTTAGCAGCGTCAAACTGCGTATCACTGAAATACCACCCCCGTGTTGTGGAAAACAAACCCCATCAGCCACAACCGTCTAGAGCCAAAACACACGTTAGATGAAGCTGTATGGGGCAACGGTTTCCTCTGTATATTTTTTTGTTACCAAATGTTATCCCTGTGTCCCGCCACTAATATACACATTAATTGGGATTGCTCACAGAGAACAGTCCGCAGAGCGATTATCACAGAGCTAACTCTGAGATTATTTCAAGCGACCTCTGCTGGTCCACGCAGTCGGGAGCAGGACTTTCCCAAATTGCTCTTCCACATGGAACAGCGCTTATCGCGTGACAATCAACCAGATGCGTTTTAATTCTCAGAGATTTAATTTCGTCAATTAAGTGCAGAATTGCAGAAGGGGGGGCTTAGTCCATCAACTCACTCGATTTTATGACTCAGTTAACTCGCAGGCCAATTTCTGGACTTGAACCCAAACTTCTGAGTGGCGCTAGCTCAGCACTTTGACCTCTGAGTCACCTCCTATGCGACGTTGTTTTAAGACTGCGTCAATGTCTGTGAGGAGCAGTCAAAGGTTCTGATGTTCGTTGGTGGTGATGAGATCGTAGCCAGGGGTGTAACCCAGTTCACCGTGGCACTGGGCCCATGGCTCTAAAGTGTACATGTTGAGTTCTATATCAGGTCTATAGGATAGATGATAGAGTTATGGGTGGTAATAAAGACATTTGAAGGAAATAACACAAACCTGATGGACTGTTGACATTCAGCTGTAGATACCCAATGTCGTGCTTGTTTTGTGGATACACCGTGACCTCACAGCGATATGGCCCAGAGTCGTGGGTCTTGATGTCACTCGCGGTGATGGAGGCGTCGCACTTGAACACATCACCCATCCAGGTGGCGTGTAAAGGCCATTGTCTATCTCCATTGGGGTGTTGATAAAGCTGTGGTCAAGAAAAGCGCGAGCATGTACTGATCAAAGATGTATGTATGTTGTATGTATGTATGTTGTATGTATGTTGTATGTATGTTGAACTTCTTTGGCACAGTACATAGGCAACCGTGCTAATCAGAGGTGCGGAAGAAGGACAACAAACTAAACACAAACATCAGTTTTAAAGAAACGAGTTTTCAATCTAGATGATGATTTAAAAGTGCGTAGCTCCAGTGGCTTCCTAATATCGGAAGGCAGAGCGTTCAAGATGGCCGCAGCAGCGCATGTGACACCGCGCGATGCGTTGACCATCTTTGTTCGATGGCCAGCCAAAAGTCGCTGCGATGATAACCAGAGTTCATGCCTAGAATGAATACGAATTTATTTAACATCTGTTGGATTAATTTTACGGGAATCACTCTACAGGAGATGGTCAGGTGTAACATACATACTTAAACGAGACCTGGATTTGCGGTACAATCTTTGATTTGTAAGGGTGCGGTATAGAACAACACAGTGTAAGTGACTACAAGAGGGGCGTAACTGGGTCAAGGAGGGAGTCGAACTAGAAGCTACTGGAACCCGCGAGAGAGTTCCAGAAGAGGGGAGTGGACAAGGGCAAGGCTTGGCCATGCTAGGGGCATATAAAGTACAGGCAAACGGGGGATCGGGGCTGTCATGGGGGTTCTAGTCCTGGCTGTCGTCGCTGTCATCACTGCCTTCTCTTCATCGTTCTTGTCACCACTGCATAGCCAGCCAGCTATACAGTCTCAATTTAAAGCTTTCGTGACTGCAGGGATTCATCTTCTTGGTTCTTTCAGTAAAGTCACGTAGAATAGAAAGAATAAACTAATAAAAATAAAACATAATAAAATACAATTCTTACGACGTTTCGGCCACAACGCAAGCAGCCGTCCTCAGGTGAAGAACAGGTCTGTCGATGTTGCTGTATGGGTGGCGAAGCTATAAGTAACTCAGCACTTATATTATCCCGTGACCCTGTCCTTAAAGTATTAAGAAGTCGTCTCATTACACTATGATAGAGAGATTTGTAACTCACCCTCTCTTCACGTCCATCTATCATCCTGAACCACTCCACCAGCGTGTGGGTAACGCCGCTGATTGTACAGGTGTAGGAGCAGGGCAGGAAAATCTTGCTGCCTGCTACGGCGTTCACTTTCTCTGGGGTGACGACCATAAATTCTAGGGAAACAACACACAGCGCCCACTTTAGTACATCTCGTATGAAAAATGAGAATAGGTTTTACCCTTTCTGGTAATAAAACACGAGGTGTGTTAAGATGTTCAAACGCCGAATAGAAACCTTTTTCAATAAATTAAGTACTACATTAACCACGCACAGTACTTGTAGTGAAAATTCAAATAGACATGGCTCTGATAATATATAAATTATCTTTAATAATAATGTAACTATAATGTTACATGGCATTGTCTTTGAAACTGATTGGCTTACACCACATACTTCTTTATGTCCTAATCACACTAGCAGTGTCAGTATACTAGTATAATATATTATTACTTATGTATGCATTGCCATTTATAATAGTGTAATTATAGTGTTATATAAACATTGCCTTTGAAACTGATTGGCCTGCACCAAAGGACAGCCTTCTTTATGGCCTAGTCTCACCAGCTGTGTCAGACCAGAGAACGCCTAAAGGCGAACAGTACAAAGACAATGCACGTATCAGAGCGTTTGTAGCTCGGGGTGAGCAGCTCTATCACGTTCTGATGGCAATTGGACATCGGTGTTGATGAGATTTATAGTCAAGAGTTGAAGCCAGATGTGTGTAATCCTTATAATAGTGGCAACGTCATCAGATGCAGAATCCATTGGATCCCTCAAAGTGCAGCGCAACCTTTCGTGTTAAGAGTATGGCCCACAGAAGTAGATATCACACAACTACCTCTGACATCCCAGGAAGTGACCTCTGGTCCATGTGTGTTTGTGTGGAACTTCTTTCGCACCATACGTAGCCAACCGTGCTAATCGGAGGTGCGAGCAAACAACAAAGTAAAAACAAGAAAGCATTTCTAAATAAATTAGTTTGTCAATTCAGATGATGTAAAAGTGCACAGCTCAGTAGCTTCCTAATATCGGACGGAAGAGCGTTCCAGACGGTCGCAGAAGCGCATCCGAAAGCGCGCGATGCAGTGACCGATGGCGAGCCAAAAGCCGCGGGGAGGATAACCAGAGATCGCGTGATGATGGTTTATACTCCTTGACGATCTCGAAAGGCGGTACTGTGGGTTATTTGTGGCAAGAACTTTTTCTGTAATAAGTGCGACCTTATAATGTGTGAGTTCGGCAACTGGAAGCCAATGCAGCTCGGCGAGCACTCGATGGACACGACCCCATCTTGCAGTACCCATGTTATGTTTCGGCTTGGATCTAATTGTCCACGATCAACTGACGTTGGCTGTAATTGGCCACAGTCCCTTACGTTATGGCAAGCTTCGGGGCCACTTCCTGGAGTCGTGTAGTTCTTCCATTACTAGTACATTTCATAAAAGCGTGGTTTAAAAAGTTTTTTTAATATTACTTATTAACCAGTTTGTCCCCTCGTAACGATTCGTTAAATGTCTCGTTTTGTAGTTAAATAATGGATTACTTTTATGAAAAATGAAACGGTTATTTAATGCTACTACGATTCTTGCTTGAGCATTACTTGTGTTAAAAGATCACTAAATTAGCTTCTATTGATTGTTATTTATTCATCATTCGTTTCCAGGTGCTCTCTAGCTCTTGTCACTGCCCAGTTAATAGTTAACTAGTGATGGTGGTGGTGATGACGGTGGAGGTGGTGATGACGATGGTGGTGATGATGATGACGGTGATGATGACGATGGTGATGATAATGTTGGTGGTGATGATGTTGGTGGTGACGATGATGGTGGTGATGATGGTGGTTGTGATGATGATGGCGGTGATTGTGGTGGTGGTGATGATGGTGGTTGCGATGATGATAGTGGTGGTGACAATGATGAAGATGGTGGTGATGATGATTGTGTTGGTGGTGACGATGATGGTGGTGGTGATGGTGGTGATGGTTGTGATGATGGTGGTTATGGTCATGATGGCGATGGTGGTGGTGATGAATTCGAGTTGACCACGACCTGCTATTGAACTCACCACGTGGTGTACTTCCTTGGCGCTGCGCTCCGGACTCCGAGCCATTCCCAACCCGCACGCTGTCAGCGACCACCGTTCCTGCAGATTAATTCGAATCTCAGAATCAGAATTTATTTTACTTATAATGGAGGAAACCGATGAGTTATGAAGCTCTATTCCACAGATGACCCAGTAGGGCTACGGGGTAAGAACGTTACATTGATGATGGTCACATTAGGGGTGCCACGGTGGCGAGAAGATGTTAACTAGCTCACCTGGTATACAGGAGGTCGTGGTTTTGATCCCAGCCCTTGCACCACGGTGGCTAGGAGATGTTAACTACCTCGCCTGGTATACAGGAGGTCGTGGGTTCGATCCCAACCCTGACGCCTGTTGTATATTTGGAGTTTGCGTGTTTTCTCCGTGGTCTCATGGATTTGACTCCGGGTGCTCCGGTTTTCCCCTTCACATTTAGAATCAACATCACGCGTTTAGAGTATTTGGCTGCTAGACATTTCCACGTGATGATGATGATGACGATCAGCTACTTCGTTGCGCTATCACTTGTGGCAGGCATCATAGCCGGCGCACAGCAATGCCTTGCATTGCCTTGCTCTTTGCTGTATCTATGTACGTGTTGAACTTCTTTCGCACTGTACGTAGCCAACCCTGCTATAATGTATGTGTAGTGACATAAGAAGGGAGGGGCTGCTGGGGGCTCTGGGACCCTGGGTGGGCCAGACGCTTAAGCCTCTTGGCGTCAGGCGTTGGGTTCCCAGGCGCTTCATCCCCTTGGCGCCGCCAAAGGGGGGGGGGCTGTGTGTGCTCTGTGGGAGATCTGGGGGCGCACACGGCCCCACCCCTCGTTGGGGACTAGTTATAAAAGCGGAGCTCCCTGGACGATCAGGGCCAGTCGTAGCTCAAGACCCAAGACCAGCCATCTGAGGACCCTGGGACGATGTGAGAGCCAGTGGTGGGACTCTGGAACTCCCGACTTGACGACCTTGTGAGGGCGAGTTCCAGAGCGTAGCCAGAGTAGTGTATCTAGGCTGTGTACCTAGGCTGTGTACCTAGGCTGTAACAGAGTATCAGGACTGTTGGAGTGTTGTGTTGTAATAAAGAAGTAGTTACCTCTACAAGTGTCTCCGGAACCCGTTACATATGCATGTCGAACTTCTTTCGCACCGTACGTAGACAACCGTGCTAAGTGTGTATGTATATTAAAACTTATTTCGCACCACATGTAGCCAACCGTACTGACTATCAGAGGTGTGGACTCGAGTCATGTGACTTGGACTCGAGTCAGACTCGAGTCATGAATTTGATGACTTCAGACTCGACTTGGACTTGCATAACAATGACTTTGTCCCACCTCTGCTGACTATGTATGTTGAACTTCTTTCGCACCGTACGTAGACAACCGTGCTTAGCGGAGATGCGGGGGAACGACAACAAACGACCTTGTTGCTGGCTACACAGAGACCCGCAGATGCCCCGCGACAACCTGTCAAGCGTGATCGGTGCTGAACTGCCCAGACTCACCAGCCCTGTCAATCTGCACAGACCGGACGAGTTCCTGATTGCATTGTGCCACCGGTGTTGACGGTATGCGGGGTATGCGGGGTGTGTGGAATGAAAACCGCAGAGTCGCCTGATGATGCTCGTCGTTGTTGTAATTACCGGCGATACGTCACGGTAGTCGGATTGTAAATGTTGTAGTGTATAATACACTATACACTACGCTACTACACTACTATACACTACATTACTACACACTACACTACACTACTACACACTACTACACACTACTATACACTACACTGTAAGTGTAAATGTTGCAGTGGGCTTACTATCCAACACACAACCAGTGATAGCTGAAATAGTATAATACAATATACACTACTACACACTACACAACACGCCAGTTGAACTAATAACGAATTGGCACGTTGTGTTGACGTGACAAGCATGACCGATTGGCTGTGTTGGTTGTTAGTGGCGGGTGTGACGACGACACAACATTGATATTTACGCGATCTAAGCACAACACAAACCTCCACTGTGGATACTTTTGGTCGCGACAGCCTCCTCCTCCTACCACGACAAAGTGTTGCACTGATCCACAGACGTAGACTCGCAGATTGCGCACAGATCTTCTACACAGAGACAAAGATCCCCCGTGCAGCCTCAACAGAATGGCGGGGGCAAGTGCTGTTAGTAGTAGCGAGTAACAGCACCTATGGGGCCGTCCATAAATGACGTCACGCGCTTTTGGACGATTTTAGACCCCCCCCCCCACCCCCCATCGTCACACGGCGTCACAAAAAGTCAGACTCCCCCCTCACAAAGCTCTGCCCTGCCCCCCGCCCCCCCCCCAAAAATAAAAATGCTTCAAATCGCTTTAAACTCTTGTCATTGTAGTGCGTATTTAATGTGGCGCTGCACTCTGATGTTATAGGACAAAATATTGAGTAAAAAGTATATTTAAGTAGAATGTGTTGTCTATATTTATTTAAAGTTGCGCATTTTGATGTGACGTCACATTTCTCAACCCCCCCCCCCCCCCAGGTGCGTGACGTCATTTATGGACGGCCCCTATGAAGGCTACCGGCACTGTGGCACACGAGGGGGAGGGTGGCCATCACCACGCCCGGCCGCCTTTGTCTCCCTAGTGTCGATGTTTACTACACACCACCGCTCCAGGTATCGTACGTAGAGCTATGCATAGGGAGACTCATAGACCAGACTCAAATAGAACCACAGACATCCACAGACACCCATAGAGACCCATACTCATCGAAACCCATACTAAAAATAAACTATTTTGATGTTACCAGTTAAGGCCCACCGAGCTGTATAGCTCTCTTTCAGAAGCGACCTGACCCATCATAAATAATAGCTCAACGAACTGGCTTATCATCATCATGTTTAGAGAATTAGTGGTGGTCAGGTTGCTTCTGATAGAGTTACACAGCAGCTCAGTGGGACCTTACGCCTGGTGAGATCAACTTAGTTTAGTATGCGTCTCTGTGGGTCTCTGGGTCTCTGTGGGTCTCTATAGGTCTCTGGGTCTATATGGATGTCTGTGGGTGTCTGTGGGTCCCTATGGGTGTTTGTGGGTCTCTATGGGTGTCTGTGGGTCTCTATGTATTTCTATGCGTTTAGAGTATTTGGCTGCTGCTATCAATGTCCACGTGGTGATGATGATATCAGCCACCTGGCTGATCTGCTATCTTTAGTGATGGCCCAGCTCGCTTCTGATTAAAGAGCTACACAGCAGCTCAGTGGAGTCCTTAAGCCTGGTGACAATAAACAGGAGCAGTGAACAGGAGCAGTGAACATGAGTAGTGAGAGTTAAACAATAAGATGTAGCCCAGTTGCCCGGCTATTGTCCACGGGAGATCCGTGAGTGCTGGTGGATCACTTCAGCAGCAGCAGCAATAAAGACAAAGGCCAACGTGGTCACTGCCGAGTTCAAGTGCAGTGAGGGGTCCTTTAGCGAACACTGCACAGATAACAAATGTAGGTGGCGTTTAAACGGTGGTAAACCAAACTCACTCGAGTCAAAACAACAACAGTGCGAGTGCAAGAGAGACAAAGGAGGCCGGGCGGGCGTGGTGGTGATGCTGGCCATCTACCACCAGCCCGCACCCTCCTGTGCCACGGGTCTCTGTGTGTCTATGGGTCTCTGTGTGTGTCTCTGGATCTCTGTGTGTGTCTATGGGTCTACGTGTGTGTCTCTGGGTCTCTGTGTGTGTCTATGGGTCTACGTGTGTGTCACGGGTCTCTGTGTGTGTCTATGGGTCTCTGTGTGTGTCTCTGGGTCTCTGTGTGTGTCTATGGGTCTCTGTGTGTGTCTCTGGGTCTCTGTGTGTGTCTCTGGGTCTATGTGTGTGTCTATGGGTCTACGTGTGTGTCTATGGGTTTCTGTGTGTGTCTATGGGTCTCTGTGTGTGTATATGGGTCTACGTGTGTGTATATGGGTCTCTGTGTGTTTATGGGTCTCTGTCAATCACGGGCTCCAGGCTCACACCCAACCCCTTACAGGGCTCACATCTGGAATGGAATTCCAGGAACTCCGCGGTTGCTGCGTCAGCGATCTGACCCCTGAAGCATCCAACCACCTGAGCGTTTTGAATGACGCGCCTCTGAATAGTGTGCGTACGTGTGTGTGTACGTGTACGTGTGTGTAGGTGTGTATGTGTGTACGTGTGTGTGGGGATGTGGGGAGCGGTAGTGCAGTGATTAGCGCTACGCTAGGCACCTGGTGACCTGGGTTCGATTCCAACTCACGGCCGACACCGGTGGCAATTATTTGAACCGGTCCTGGACCTCCTCTAGGTCCACTCAGGCCTCAAATGAGTACCTGGTCCCATGTGTAAACATCGCCACTGGGGAGACAAAGGCGGCCGGGCGTGGTGCTGGCCACTCAAACCCTCGTGTGCCGTGCCGGCCTTCATCGGTGCTGCTCGCTAACAACACTTGCCCCAACAGTCTGTTGAGGCTACGTGGGGGGTCTTTGTTGAACTTGGTTCAAGGCCATTGTGAATCTCCAAAGGTGAGAGACGCTCAGACGCAGATCGTGAACCGAGGATCTGAGTTGACTCAGCGTGTTCGTGACACAGCCATTGTGAAGGTCTCGCACATCGCACCCACTGGTCTAAGATGCAGAGATGACGTTTTACATTCCAGGCAGCCCAGCACGCTATAGTAGTGACGCGTTTATTTGTCAGTAAATATGAGGAAGTGGGGGGGGAAACCCCAAAACCAATATAGCGATGTCGAGTCTCGATTGTGCAAGTCACGAGACACAAACAGACAGCGGCCACACGCAGGTGGCGAGGAGTCGTCTCCCTCGCCTGGTCTGCAGGAGGTCGTGGGTTCGATCCCAGACCCTGGCGACGCTGCTGCTGCTGCTGTAGATTTGGAGTCTGCGTCTCTCTCCCCGTGGTGGTCGCTGCGTGGATTTTATCACTCTGAGTCCTCTGGTTTTTCCCTTAATTTAGAATCAACGTCACCACGAGTTCAGTGTCTTTGTCTGCTGCTATCAATGTCCACGTGGTGATGATGATGATATCAGTCACGTGACTGAACTGCTG